TGTGCCACTACATAGACTGATCCTGCCTAAAATAAAATCAACACAGAGAAAAATAAGGTCGAAAGATTGAGATATCCTGCTGATGGCATCATTTGAGCACTTAGATCCAAATATGCATAAAACTATCGTAGACTTATTCCTATGAAGTAATGACTGTTTTCCTTGAGTCAACTTGAATTTGCTTTCATGTCATTTCACTGAAATGAGTCCTAACTAGAGTATTGTTCCACAGAAACTGTTTTCTTGAAAATTGTCGATAATAATAACAGCTGGTATTTGTTGAATCCTTACTATGTTAGATGTCATTTTAAGCTCTTGACATAGACAAAATCATTAACACTTCATAATAACTCTGAATTATTTCCTACTTACAGACTAAGAAATTAAGGCAAAGAGAGATGAAGAAACTTGCCCTAAGGTTTTATAAATGTAAGTGGGATTCAAACCCAGGCATTATGGTCTTACAGTCCAACACCTAAACTCTATTGCCTTGTGCGTCATCAAACCCAGTTACCTTTTCTTATCCCCCTTAACCTCTTTGCTGTATTCAGCACTATCCACTTGTGCTTCATACTCTCGTGGAAAGCCTTTGCTTTCCACAACATGGTTTTCTTATGGCTCTTTCCAGTCCTTCTCACAGGAACTTCTTTAATTCTTTTTCTGCCATGCCTCCTAAATGTAGAATTTTCCTAAGGCTTCTCTATTCTTCCCTTGGAGGTCTTACAACTTTGAGTATCATTTCCATGAAAATGATGCCATTAACTCAAGCTTTTATTTCTAACTGCCTACTGTCTCCACATCACCTAAATGTCTGCTTCGATCTCAAGTGGCATGAGTTGCAGCATGCATTATTGGGTTTCTAGGAATAATTTATAATAATTTAATCTTGGTTGGAAATTATAACTGAAGCCAGATGTTAGAAAACTCAACTCTCAGATAATGCAAAGCCTATTGACACAGATACTTTGAGATGGCTTCCTACTCAGCTAGCCATTCTATCTGGTTGGATGACAGGAATTGTTAGTAAATTTTGAGATACCAATTATCTAATAGTTAAAATAAATTAGCACTTATCTGGGTCTTACATCATGACATTGTTATCTGTCATTTTACAAAAAAAAATGAAAGATCTTCTATGAAGTATTGACAATCATACTCTTCGTTTGTAACTTGGAGATGATGAATACTTCTTAAGATGTTTATTGTAGAAAGTTTCACCTCAGGTTGTAAACTGGTAGAGAGGTTGTTTTTAGTTCACCAAATTTGTACACATTAACTCCTCTCTAGGGTTCTGGTTTTCAACCTTGGTCATACATTGGAGTCACTGGAGGTCTCTTCGCAGGAAATTCTGATTGAATTGTACGAGGGTGATAACTGACATGGGTAGTTTGATCAGTTCTTCAAGAGATTCCAAGGTGCTGTCACGGTTGAGAAGCATCGTTTTGAGGGTTCACTTTTTAGGTTGCTATGGATCACCAGTTGAATTTTAACTTCTAACATAATAGGTTTTAGTGCTAAAATTTTAACTGGGCATCCTGGTTTTATTTGCCAAATTTGTCAACCCTGTCATTTCTCTGACTATATTCTGTGGCTTCATTGGAAATAAGAGGCTAAATTACATGCTTTATTCAGTGTTAAGACTTTCTGTTTTGTCTTTCTTCTTTCAGTACTGTTGGCAATAAACTTAATCCTTCTAAAAAATTTATTTCTATTAAAAAAAAAAGAACACTGGCTTCTGCTTCCATGAGCTGCCCACATTTTTCTTTGTGGCTTCCATATTGTTTTTTTTTAGCCCCACAAGACTCTGACTACAGCTGGAGAAGGTTTTCTGCTTCAAAAGGATCATGTGATTAGCTTGGGCCTACCTGGAAAATCTAGGATAATCTCTTTATTGGAATTCGTAACTCTAATTACATCTGCAAAGTCCATTTTGCTATGTAATGTAACATATTCAGAGGTTCCAGGGATTAGGATGTGGACATCTTTTAGGGGCCACTGTGCCTACCACGGTTGTCTTGGGTGTAATTTTCACTTTTCTAGCACACCCCCACCTCACCCCTTTTTTGTAATAGAGCACACCCTCCAGCTGTTTTCTGAGAAAGAATGTCTGAAAAGAATATTTAAAATTTCGCATAACTGAAATCTCTTTTTTCATCCTCATGTTATTGATCTCTAGGTTAGAAATAATTTTCTCTCAGAATTTATCATTTATGTTTCTGTCAAAAAGTCCAATGTCATTTAATTTCTGAATCATAATAAATGATCGATTTTTTTCCCTCCCTGGAACCCATTAAATTCTTCTCTCTGACACATGTGCTTTGAAATTTCACAAGAACACACCTTTATATAGATTATTTTTATCCACTGAGCTGAAAGCTTGTGTCCTATTGCCCTTCAGTTATGAGGACTGTTGTCTTGGTTTTCCTCAACAATTCTTTTTCTTCTATTTATTGTATTCACTCTTAGGTATTTGACCTTGCCTAGTCTAATTGCCCTGGATAAAATGTGCAGTACAAAGTTGAAAAGAAGTAGCAAGAGAGGACCTATTTGTCTTATTCCTGATCTTTGGTATAAGTATCAATTCTCTCACCATTAAGTGTGATCTTAACTTTGGTTTTTTTATAGATGTCTTTTATCAGGTTGAAGAACTTCAGTTAGTTGAATGTTTTTATCATGAAAAAGCGTTAGATTTTATCATGTGCTTTTTCTTCATCTATTGAGATGATCCTGTGGTCTTTACCCTCTATTCTATCTAAGAGTACAACTTCAGGAAACCAACTTTGCATTCCTTAGATAAATCCCTGTTGATCATGTCATAAAATGTTTTTTCTTTTTTTTTTTTTGTATGAAAAAAAAGTTTATGGTCCCAATGAATAAATTATTTTGACTATATAAAACAGACAAATCAACATACAGAAAATGCCCTCTGAGGTACCTTTTGAAATTTGTACCTTTGTGTATAATACCTATTCAAAATATAAATTAAGAAAACTCTAAATCTAATGTAAGTTTTGTTTTTAATTATTTAATTTATTTTTTAAATTTACATCCAAGTTAGTTAGCATATAGTGCAAAGATTTCAGTAGATGCCTTAATGCCCCTTACCCATTTAGCCGATCCCCCCCCACTCCTTCCAGTAACCCTGTTTGTTCTCCATATTTAAAAGTCTCTTATGTTTTTGTCCCCCTCCTTGTTCTTATTTTCTTCTTCCTTCCCTTCCCTCATGTTCATCTGTTTTGTATCTTAAAGTCCTCATAAGAGTGAAATCATATGATACTTGTCTTTCTCTAATTTTGCTTAGCATAATACCCTCTGGTTCCATCCATGTAGTTGCACATGGCAAGATTTCATTCTTTTTGATTGCCGAGTAATACTCCAATGTGTGTGTGTGTGTGTGTGTGTGTGTGTGTGTGTGTGTGTGTGTGTGTGTGTGTATCACTTCTTCTTTATCTATGAATCCATCGATGGACATTTGGGCTCTTACCATACTTTGGCTATTGTTGATAGTGCTGCTATAAACATTGGTGCATGTGTCCCTTTGAAACAGCACACCTGTATCCCTGGGATATCTCTGTATCTCCTGCCACTTTGCTGAATTCATGGATCAGTTCTAGCAGTTTTTTTGGTGGAATCTTTTGGGTTTTCCATATAGAGTATCATGTCATTTGTGAAGAGTGAATGTTTGACCTCCTCCTGGCTGATTTGGATGCCTTTTATTTCTTTGTGTTGTCTGATTGCAGAGGCTAAGACTTCCAATTCTATGTTGCCTAACAGTAGTGAGAGTGGACATCCCTGTCTTGTTCATGACCTTAAGGGGAAAGCTCTTAGTTTTTGCCCAGTGAGGATGATATTAGCGTTTGGTCTTTCACATATGGCTTTTACGATCTCGAGATTTTTATCAAGAAAGGATGCCGTATTTTGTCCAATGCTTTCTCTGCATCTGTTGAGAGGATCGTGTGGTTCTTGTCCTTTCTTTCACTGATGTGATGTAAAATGTTTCTTCTGTATTGCATTTGGTTTGCCCTTTTTGGTTGTGGATTTTCTATTAATATTCATAAGGTATATTGGTCTGCAGTTTTCTGTACTCATTGATGTCTTTGGTTTTTGTTAATGGTTTCATTGGATTCTCAGGTGGGAAATCATTACAATGCAACCGTAGCCTTGGACAAGAATCCATCTCAGCCGCTTCAAGCAAATGGAAATTTCTGCATCTAGCAGAGAAAGCTATATAGTTTTTAGACGTTCCTGTCCTTAAAACTTCCTTTCCCTTCCTCAAACCAACTAATAAAACTTGGCCTTTTATGTTCTGAAACTTAGGTATCATCTTCTGATGATCTGTTCTCATTGTTCTGATGTACTGCTGAAAAGTCAACATTTACTGCAAAAGACCCCCTCTCTGAATAAGCACTTTTGATTTACCTCTGGTTATCCACTCACTTATACCAACTGTGATTGGTCAAGAGCGAAGTCAAGAACACTTCAGTGATTCATCTCAATTGAACAAAAGTGGAACCGAAGGCACAAGAAGTAATAGGCCCTGCAGGTGGGATCAGAAGTCAGACCTCCAGGAGGGACAGGGTGAGGCCAAGATTGAACAAGGCACGGGAAACTTCAGTTGCTGTGGTAGGGGATGGCGAGAGAGAGTAAATTCGCCCCGGTCTCCCCTAGCGGGGCATTGCTGGCGCGGCTCCGGTCTGCACGTGGTCAGGTCAGGGTGGAGCGCAGCCCACACCCGGCCTGCGGGGGCGGGACCCACGGAGGTAAGGGAGCAGAGCGATCCGCGGTGCGGAGCGCCCGGGCGCCGAGACCGAGGCGAGCTCGAGCGCTTTCCGCGGGATTTGGCTCCTGTCGCTTCCCGTCTCCCAGACCCGGCTTCGCGGCCGCCGGAGCCGCCGGGCGGCGAGTGCTCAGAGCCGGGCTGCGAGTGGCTTGGCGCGCCGGGAGGGGGCGCGGAGCGGGCGGCTCCCGGAAGCGGACGCAGGTAAGGGCCGGCGGCTCCGGGCCCCGCAGGGCGCGCCTCGCCGAGAGGGTCCGGCCTTCACCGGCCCTGAGCGGCCGCGGCTGCTCGGGCCGCTGCTCCTCCCCGAGCTAGGACTGCTGGAGGGCTGGCCTGGCCGCGCCGCGCCGCCCCCCGCCCCGGGCCTCAGGTGATGTGGCCACGGTGGTTTAACTTTCGCACTTGAGGCTCTCTGTGGAGTCCTCGGGGCGCGACCGGAGACGGGGTGGAATTACACCGGGTCTGGAAACGTGAGCCAGGGCGGTGAGCATCGGGGCCGGGGTAGTGGGGGGGGGGGGGGGGGGGGGCGGGGAGCAGGGATCCGGCGGATGGCGGGGAGTGGGGGGTGGGCGACTGGGTGGACTGTTGGCTGCCCTCCAGGTCAGAGTTGAGGAACTGAGTCCTCCTGGGGAGAGTCGGCACACACCCCCTTCCGCGGCCCGTTGCCTCTGCACAGAGCCACTTTCTTTTGTCTGGTCCTTTTTGGTATTGGCCTTTCAGCTGCTTTTGTTGCAGCCTTGGATCCAGAGTGTACAGCATTTGCTCGGCAGAGGTTAGAAGGAAGCTTTGTGCAGCAGCGGGGCGAGGTGGGCAGAGGGTTGTTGGGGGGATGTTGTTATTAGTGCCATAATTAGCGTGCATTAACACGTATTTATCACCGTGACCTTTTCCAGATAGTACTCAATACTTTTGTAGCATCTAATAGTTTGGCTGGACCCAAGACAATATTCATTAGCTAACTTCAAAGAAACGTTGTGTGGACAGGTTACTATTAAATTGCCCCATTTTATAGGCCAGGCACCTCAGGCACCCACGCCCAAACCTGATGATAAAACTAAGCAGTCAGCCCTTGAGAAAACTTGTCTGGCTGAGAGTTATCCTCGGTCCAGTCAGTCACTCAACCTCGCACAAAATGTAGGGCCCACAGTGCTCATGTGACACATTGTATTTTTGTTAAGTCATTAATTACTGAAACCTTTTGCTAAAAATAGAACTGAGCCCTTTTCTGACTCTGGGAATAGCACCCATAAAAATCATTTTAGTACATCAGAATCATTTTGTTACCAGAGCCCAAGTTCAGGGCCACCTGGGTGCCTTCGGACTTCAGCTCAGGTCGTGATCTCCTGTCTGTGAGTTCAAGCCCCCGCATCAGGCTCTGTGCTGACATCTTGCACTCTGTCTCTCAAAATAAATAAACATTAAAAAAAATAAAATAAAAACCCACCCAAGTTCAGCTTCCTGTTGCTGGGAAGGCTTAAGAGATGAGTTTTCAGTGGAAAAGAATATGAGCTTTATTCATGAGGCTGGCCACCTGGGGAGAAGGCGGACTCTTGTCCAAAGGCCAACTTTGAAATTTGTCTTGCCCTGATAATTTTTAAAGTATGTTGATCAGTTAAGGGAATACAGTAGTCTGTGATGTTTCTTGATTAGGTGCAGACTCCACGATGCCAGATACAGAGTTAGCTTTGTACTCAGAGGTTGTGCAGAGAAGTTCCTTGGTGCCCCGGGTTGATTGTGCAAAAAGACCTGATTCCTTGGTACCCAGGGGTGGTTGTACAGGAATACTGTTGTTTCTGCAAAGGAGGGCAAGGTCTATAGATGCACAAAGGGAGGTCAGTAAAGTCATTCGTGTGACCTTAAAAAGAAAAAAAAAAAAACATTTTGCTAAAAGAGGGCTGGTCTAATCAGCAAGCTGAGGGGCCTTCAGGTGGACTTTGTGGCCTCTGTGGCCTGGGAAAGTTCTGGTCCCATATTCCCCAGGGCCAATGGTCTGCAAATTTTGGAGAAAGCCAGTTAGTTCTGTTACAGATCAAGGGCCTTAAGTCAGCAGGCAAGGAGTGTGTTAACTTGAAGCAAGTTAACCCTTAAGACCAGCTGGAGTGCTGTTACATGTTCAGTTGGATCAGGAGAGTAGTAGTAAGGACTAAGGTTTTGGTTTTTTTTGTTGTTTTTTTTTTTTTTTTTTTTTTTTTTTTTTGTCTTTGGTCTGTCAAATCTTAAGCTCCTATATAAATACTGTGCCACTGGGAGCCCTAAATATTTATTTAATGAATAAGTGGAATAGAAGAAGTGAGCTCCTAGGTATCCTAGAACAATGTGCAGAAGGTTTTCCCAAACAGAAGAATTAAGCATTTAGGAGAATAGCCATTTTAATAATTTCAATGACATTTATCTTGTAATCGGGCACATTTATGTTGTTGTACTTTTTTGACTCTCAGAACCATCGACAGTTCACCAGTTTTCCTAGGGTTTTCTCTTATGTGAATTTGCCAATAGATCTTTTACTGTCCATTTTTCTTCCTCCCTTTCATTTATGTATTTGGTTTTTCACAGTGAAGGTATTTTTTTTTTTTTCTAAAATCAAGTATTTAAAAAACAAGCATTCTTTCTTGGTAAAATAGACTCAAGTAGGACTTTTATGAGTGTATTTTAGTTTAGACACTAGCCTCTCTAATAAGTAGCTGTCAAACATCAAGCAAGAATTCTTTCAGACAAGTATGCAATGAATCTTTAATCATTTTAATGGAGCTCTGTAATATTTTATGACACATCTATTTCATATAATGCCTTTTTATCAAGCAGCATAAAGCTAAACATTTCATTACAATTTTGCCAACGACAAGATCCTTAGACTTAATTATTGACTCATGAAATAAACACAATTCTTTGCCTTACACCACCTTCATTCATCTACTTGGGGGAAAAAAAAAGAATGATAATCTGGCCTTTCTGTCATTAGTGATATTTGGAGAGTTAATGAAGTAAATATTTTTAACCACATGGAAGAAAGATGCTCTGTGACTTCAAAGTGTGACTATAGAGTCATGAAACCCTGCCCTTATCCAAACATGCTGTTATTTATTTTTTAAGGGAGAGTGTTCATTCCAAGTGGTCACTTTAGGACACTACATGCCTCCAAAAGTTGCTATTCACAATTATTTTGAATCTTTTGGAATGTCTAGTCAATTTACAAGTAACAGAAACGCTTTCAGGATCGCTTTTATAAGTACTTGTTTTTGTTTGTATTTTTTAATCAAACTATTAACTCCATTAGAACACCATTTTCATTTGCTAAATTTGAAAAATGATTTCTGCATGACTGTGAAACTCTTCCAGATTTTGCCACTATTAAGGATATTAAAAGATTATTTGAAAGGCTATGAAAGCAATTTCAAACCACTGGTTTAAAAATAGTTTCAAACAATGGCAACGTTGTTAGAATAACTTTGCATCCTTCCCAGAGTGACTACTCTAAAGGGGACAATACTTACTTGAAGGCTAAAGTTCTATGTCTATATGTGTATAGGCATAGATATACTTATTTTTTGTATGTACATTTGCATGTTTGTTAAATAATTTGAAATTCATAATTTGAATTGTAACCTAACAATTTATAGTAGTCCACAATAAAATGGGGACATAAAATGCCCACATTAAAATATCTTGTTTTGGCTCTAGTATTCGATAAAGTGCATAAAAAAGGAATCATATTGATGAAAACTAAGTATTCTTGTTTCTTTAAACATCATCCACTTAATTAACAAGGTGTTTTTTTTTGCTTTCTTAGATTTTGAAAATATTGGGGGAATTGACTTGAATGGCAAATCTCTTGGAAAAGCTAGCTAAGGAAATTATATCTGTTGCATTTTTTTATCTTGATAATGGTTATATTAATAATAGAACTGACCTCATTCTATAATCTCTTTACTTGATTATTTCACTGGTTTGATGGCTGGAAAAATTTAGAAACAATCAGTAGATCATTAGCACACATATTTAAAGCAGTTTCAAAACATCCTTCATAAAATTGCTGAGATAAGCATGAGAGTTATTCTGAATTAGATTTGCCTGACCTATTTAGAAGCCTGTTGAAAAAATTTATCCAAGGCACCAGAATTGAAGTGTGGACACCAATTCAGGCTGCTTTTTTAACAAATAGTATAGGCAGGTTGGCCAATGATGTGATGAATAAATTGAGAACTATTTACTTACTTAATTAATGGAGCTAGAAATTAAAACTGAAGTGTATTTTTCTGGCCATATTCTACTCAAAATTTTGGGTTTAAGGTAGAGACTGTTCTTTCTCAGACAACTTGTCTCCTGGAGAATATATAAATTGTGTAATAAATATTTATATGGCTGCACTTGGCTGATTTACAACCAACTAAGGCTTTATGGTCCTAAATAAAGCCTTCTCTCTTCTAGTCAGGCATTATTGTTTTTGCTCACCAACCATATCCTTTCCCAACTTAGTGTTTTGCCTTATATTATTTTCCTTGCTCAAGATACCTCTTTCTCTGCACTCTCCTTAACTAATGCTGTCTACATCGTTTCTATCCTTAAGACCCAGCTGTAATACCTCTGTTTTCCACAAAGCTTTCCCTGACTCCCTAGTTCTTGTTTTCAGTTTACCAGGCAGTTGTAGTTGTTGGTTACTATCTATGTTTTTTCTTATTTAATTAACTTTGTCCTTGAACTTGTTCTCCACCTAGATTTTTTTTCCTTGAAGGCACAAGTCATACCTTAAATATATATATATATATATATATATTTTTTTTTTTTTCTGAATCCTATGCAGCAGCTAGAACACTGGATAATAGCAGGACATATCGGCTTATAAGGTTCGATCTATAAGGTGAATTTATTAATCAGGTACTGAGGTAAAATTTCTTAATGCTTCATAATTGTATCAGTCATTGTTCTAGCAGAAAACAGATTGCAGGCTCAGATGGGGTAATGGAGAAGAGTTTAACTTAAAAGGTGTGCCTGGATTAAAATACACCAACAATGGATGGTGAAGTATCTCACGACTCTCTGTAGTGGGAGCCGTTATCATCCCTAGGCCTGAAGGGTAAGAGAAGAGAACCATTACTGAAACCCAAAGGCAGTAGCTATGTGGAGGGAAAGGCTGTGTGACTATAGCTCTGGTCTTTCTGTGATCAGGCAGGGGAGCAGCTGCAGGAATACATACCCCAGCTTCACTTTCTTCCAGTCCTCTGATGTCCTGTTTCGTTCTAGTTTAATTCAGTTACTAACATGCAAGAACACTTTATTTATGAATGATGTATTTCACTTGAACCACCATCCTTTTTTCCCCCCTTGTGATGTTAGTTGGTATGGTATTGGTATACATGCCATCTCAGTGATTTGTTTGTTTCGTCATGTGTTGTCTTTTGCTTATACTGTGCACAGGTGGAGACCTAGAACTATGGGCATGGTCATTGGTAAATCTCCCTTCACCATTCCAGCCATTTGATTTGGCT